GGCGCAGGAGGAGCAGGCCCAGGAGGAGGAGGAGGCACAGCTGGGAGAAACTCCTACAAATCCAGCCTCTGTTGTATTGATTTCTGGATTCCCAGATTAGGATGACCCAGTGCTGTCAAGAGAAAATACTTCCTGTGGCGGGAGAAGAGCGTCTCCCTCCCAGGGGTGGATTTCCTCCTACTGAGCTACAGGATCAGGGGCACAGGAAGCGAGCTCACCGCCCACGGAGATCTCGACGCCGCACACCCGGACCCGGGGGCCTCCTGCGCAGGCCAGCTTGCAGACAAACAGGGTTGTGCCCGGGGGCAGGTCCGAGACGTGGGTGCTGAGGGTCTGGCCACGCTGGGCGGCGACTTCCCTGTTGGCCCGGTAGAGGATCAGCTGGCTGCGGCGGCTGGAGCGGGGCTGGCAGCCCTGCCCGGGCTTCAGGGCGCACGCGATGTCGACGGCCGAGCCGATAGCCACGACGCGGGCCGGGGTCACGGTGACGTGGCCGAGCTTGCACACGTCTGCAGGGAAGAACAGGGACGGGCTGGGGCCCGAGACGCCCACCCCCGGTGGGGGGCTTCGATGCCCGAGGGAGGGCCGCAAGCGCCCCGGCGGCCCCCAGAGCAGGCGGGCCGGGCCTGGACTGCAGCTCGCGTCCTTCTCGGTCCGGCCGTCCGGGCTCAGCTCTGAACAGGAGCGCGGGAGGCAGCGGTCGGGTGGGCCGAAGTCGGGAAAAGCCGGCCTCTGGCACGCAGCTCGTTCAGCAGCCGCTGCGCGGGTCCACACCCTGTGTGGTCGCAAAGCGGCTTCACGCAGGCGGAGAGGGCGAGGCCCCGCGCTGGGCGGGGAAAGTTCCTGCTCTTGCTGTGCCCGGTGGGAGCCACGCGGCGCTTGCAGCATTATTTTACAGCACGGGAAACGTGCGAAGGCTGGTCTGCCGCGTGTGGCGGTGCAAGGCCGTAATCCCAGCGCTCAGGGGCTGAGGCAGGAAGACTGCCCGGAGTTCAAGGCCTGCCTGGGCCACAGAGCAAGACCTTGTCTCAATAAATAAGTAAACAAATAAGTAAATAAATGGCTGGCTTGTAGTCGATGTGGAAGGCAGTGATGGGTGTCACCCTGCCATATTTTGGTATGTCTACCGTATTTCCTGTCCTTTCCTCTATTAAGCCCTTTTTCAAAAGACAGACCTACTGGCATCCTTCCCTCTGGAATTTGTTTTATTAAGAATACATTTGCATCTCAAAAGTGGACAGTTAAGGGTGATTTCAGTAGCATTAAGGAAAGAGCCTGAGCAGTAGCCATCCTGAATCTCAGGCATGACAGGAGGGGACTCTTATCAAAAGTCCTGTCTGGATGAGGGTAAGATGGCTAGGGCCGGAGACCATAAAGGGGACTTGGCAGGGAAATTACTTAAACCAAGTAAAAGAAGTACTGAAAGCAATTTTAATGAAATTTTTCATTTTTATTTTCAAAGCTAAAATGGAATCTCTCTCTCTCTCTCTCTCTCTCTCTCTCTCTCTCTCTCTTCTCTCTTTCTCTCTCTCATCTCATGTGATTGCTTGGTGTTGGATTCGTTCAAGCTTCTCGATTCTAATAACTTCAAAGCCAAAAACAAGTTCTCTCTCTCTCTCTCTCTCTCTCTCTCTCTCTCTCTCTCTCTCTCGATGAGAAAAGCAAGAAAATGCCAGGCATGAGTTTTCGGGAGAGCCCAATGCCCATGATCTGCTGTTCTGGGCACTGCGATACAAACGCTATCTATTCCTGATGCAGCTGGGTCGCCTAGCCACTTTCTTAAGAGCAAATGCTAGGACCGGATCGCTGCATTGACTGTTAGAACAAATGGAACAAGTGATCGTTACTGACATAGAGCCACCCTACTCCGTCCAGGGAGCGAAGCTGTCCACAGTGAAGCCTCCTGGGCGGTCACCCCTGAGTGCTGCGCACCCACGACTCAGAACGTAGACCACAGACCTGCACACAAATGGGGGAACAGAAATGAGCGCACCTATCTGAGCCTCGATCAACAGCCACAGGGTTATAAACACAGGCGCCAGCGAGCAGCCTCTCACAGCCCGTGCCATGAACAGTCGGCGGGGGCCACGGCTCTGTGCTGTCCCTTGGGAAAGAAGACAAATGCATCATGTTAGAGACGCCACCACCCAGGGCAGCGCTGAAGCCCAAGCCACACGGCACCTGGTAAGGCACCACATGGGGCTTCTGCACAGTGAGATTGCTTTTCAATAACACATTTCTATTTATTTTTGTCTTTTTTTGAGACAAGGTCTCCCTGTGCAATTCAGGCTGGCTTTGAGCTCACCTTGTAGGCCAGGATGGTCTTGAACTTACAGGGACCCTCCTGCCTCAGCCTCCCCGGTGCTGGGATTATAGGTGTGCGCCACCATGCCCAGCAGTGTCTACACCTTTAAGACTGATAAGCTAACATCGGAAGCCACTGTTTACCTTGGTGAAGGTGCTCAGTGTTGGCAGAGGTGGAGAAGAGACCTGGCCCTGTCTGTCCATCTGGGCAGCTGGACCTGGTCTCGCAGGCCTTGGGCTCCAAATCTGTGCTGGGGGCTGAGGTACAAGGCAAGGGACAGATGCTGCTGGTCCGCCTCGGGGAAGGGACTGTCCTGGGAGGGCGCCTCCTGTCTGGGAGGGCTGCCCACAGATCTGATCACCCCAAGGAGCAGCCTCTTTGTGCTATCCTTCGAGCATGAGGTTCTGAGGTGAACTGGGGGACATAAATGGTGGGACCCTGCTGGGCCCTTTGGACCTGGGCTGGGACACTTTGAGACCATGTGCCCCTCAGAAACGCCCATCCGGGCTCAGCCACATGGTCTCCTGCTCCTGGCCTGTGGCCTCCTGTCCTCTGCTGACTGTTCGGCACTGCCAGGACACTGCACTCCACGTCCCTGCTGGCTGCTGCCCCGCCGACCTCCACCCCAGCTGTGAAGTCTCACGGGCACCACCAGCAGCCCTCCCTCCTGGGCCTGGCCTAACCTCCTGGCCTCCGATCCCTCCCGTGGCCTCGGGTATGCTCCCGTGCATGACCTGTAGCTGTGCCCCTCTTTCTGACCCTTTTTTTCTTTTTGAAGTGCAGGGCATTGAACCCACAGCCTTCTCACTGAGCTATATCTCTCGTCCTTTTGTATTTTTAAAATTTTGAGCCAGGCTCTTAAGTTGCCCAGGCTGGGCTGAAACGTGTGATCCTCCTGTCTCAGCCTCCCAGTGGGATCGAGACCTCTGCTCCTCGCGTCATTATTTTTGTTTTGGTGTGCTGAGACAGGGTCTCACCATGCAGGCTTTGCTTGATTTTCCACAGGACCTCTGCATAAGAATACAGGAGAGGACAAGAGAAGCACAAGGGAGGAATCTGTGCCAGTCCCGGCCACCGAGGACACAGGAGGGAGGAGGAGCAAGAGCTGCAGAGCCTTCATTCCACAGGGGATCAGATCAGGATGACATAACGCTGGCTCTCCCGGGACAGCAGCCAGGGATAGACACTGGTGAGTCCAGTCACAGAAAGTGACAGATGAGGATGTGGGAGGGGAGTGAGCTGGAGAAACTGGCCAGAGCAGGTGGGGGGTGGGGGAGAGAACAGCGAGAACACACCTGTAATCCGTGCATGCAGAGGCTGAGGCAGGAGGATGGCCATGAATGAATTTGAGCCAGCCGGGGCTACATAGTGAGCCTCTGTCTCAAAAAAAAAAAAAAAAAGGGCAAGCTATTGAGCCCCAGGTGGACGGCCAGCATGCCTGCAGCTCAGCCCTGAGCGGTCTCGGCCCCTCCCATAGGACAGACCCTGTCTCCTGTCCCCTCAGGCTCCTGAGGGACAAGGCTGGCCATACAGCACTGCCTGAGCGGACCTCGGGACTCCCGTGCTGGTCTCCTCGACCTCCAGTTCGTTTCCTGGAGCTGTGCCCAAACAACATTAAGCCACGGTTTGCTGTGCTGTAGCTGGCGCCCTCAGGATCTTCGGTTACTGTGGGGAAGATGCTAAAATAAGCTGTGGGGATTGCGAGCTTTAAGCTAGGACATCTGAGAAGCAGTAGCAGCACCAGGGCTCTTGGGTCTTCGTGCTTGTTAGGGTTTGTGTCTAGGTGTCCCCCCCAAAAACCTCATGCAGTCCTGGGGCGGCTTCTGGAGTTTGGGATTGATTGCTGTGGGTGTGGATGCTGCACCCACCCTGGGGGAGGTAATTCGTGCCACAATGTAAGGAGGGGAGAGAGGCCTTGCTGCCAGTCCCTCTGCTGTCACCCTGAATGGCTGCTCTGTGTGATGTGCCACTCAGCTCTGGAGCCAAGTGAGTATGGACTGAAACCTCCACCAATTGTGGGCTAAATAAGTCTTTCCTTCCTTATTCTGGGTGTCGGGTCCCAGCAATAAGAGAAAGATAACTAAGACAATGCTGTTTCTTTTTTTTTTTTCTTTTTTTTTTTTTTAAATTTTAAAGTATCTTTCCCTAAGAAAGGGGGCAGTTGGGGGGTGCTCAGCGCTCATTGGCTGTGCAGCTTGGGTAGTCCCACACTAGAGAGAGACACCTTTTTTGAGGAGCTGGGGCTGGAACCCAGAGCCTCCACACAGAGTGACACTGACACCCTTTTTTACTTTGGGATGAGGTCTCGCTAAGTTGGTACATCACTAAATTGCTCAGATTGGGCTTGAAGTTGAGATCTTCCTGCCTCAGCCTCCTCAAACTCTAGCATTACCAGTGTGTACCCAAGGGTGGCCGAACAGTAAGACGCTGCTGCCCACAGCATTCTCTCCACTCCTCGCTGAATGGCGCAGCTGTGTGAGGCTCCCCAGGCCACCTGGTCGTAGTCGAGGTTCTGTCTAACCCGGGACACACGTCCCACGCTCATTGCCTGCACAGGTCTTGGTTGCTTCAGAAACGCCCATAAAACTTACTAAATAAATGTGCAAAGGTCTAGCCTGTTCTTCCCAGTGTGGCAACATGATTCTCACGCCCTGGGGTGGGACTCTTGTGCCCTTCCAGAAAGACAGTGGTCACCGCCTCCTCTGGGTTAGAGGAGCCCATGGCTGGAGCCGCAAGTGCACCACGTAGGAGGACATGAAGAAGGGAAACAGGAACCGTGCGGATCTGCAGCGGCCCTCGGCCGGGGGTTCAGTGACCGTCAGCCGCGCAGCTTGGGCTGTCCCCAAAGAGTAAGAATGTTTCTCAGGTCACCTAACGAGTTACAAATGGATGCGTGTGTATGAAGCACACGTTTCTATGTCTTTACATGTCCTGTAGCTACATAGGTTGAGACCGACAGCACATACATTAAATGTGACGTACTACGCACGGTGTTCAGTATAGTGCTAGTGAATTCGGTAAATAGAGCGAGGCTGTGACTTCAGAACACAAGCTTACTGGTTTCCTCTGAATACCGGCTGGAAACTGCATTTATGAGAACCTCAGCTGCCCCGAGGCCTTCAAGTAAACGAGGTTCCTTCCAATAAAATGAAACCTGCTGTCAACTGTGAACACCTTCCCCCCGCCCATCTGCACAGCCCCTATCAAAATGACAGCTCTACCCTGAATCACAGAATCAAAGTGAGTGCTGCGTCATTACTCATTGCGGGGATGTGAAGGTTTCCAGTGACAGCCGAGGCTGGGAGGAGGGGCAGGCAGAGAGACTCAGGCAGGAGGTGCGGGCCACAGCCATGTTCGGTCCCACTTCCCCTTCTGCAGGGAGAAGAGCCGGCCCCCGCTTTCTCCCCAGCGATCTCTTCTGGAGCAGGGGGCAAAAACACCTGCACCTCCACAATACTTTGCTCTGTAGCCCAGGCTGGCCTTGAACTCATAGTGGTCCTCCTGCCTCAGCCTCTCAAGTGCCAGGACAACAGGCGTGTGTGGCCAAGCCTGGCTGCTAGCACCGCATTAAATTCAGAGAAATGTGTGGTGTTGAGTAAAAGAACCAGGCAGTGAGCCTCGGCTCTATGGTCCCCACATGACAACACAATTCTCCATCCCGGCTGCCCTCCTAGGCGGCCGAGACCAAGCTGTCCACAGGGCACATCAGGGTCGCAGGCACAGCCCGTGGCCCCCCAAGGTAACTCCCACTCCCCCAGGCCAGCCGAGCATGTCTTTTCTGAACGCTTGTGACTTCATGCGGCCATCTGAGCTTTGACACAGGGTGCAAAAGTGTGCCCTGGAGGAGCATGGTAACAGTCTCTGGTAACAAAGTGCTCGGAGCACTGGCTGTCCGCAGGCAGAAGAGCGAGTCTGGGCCACACCGCTTGCCATGCCCTGAACTAAAAAATGAATCAAAGAGCAAACTATTCAAGCTGAGACATTTAATCTGCTGGCAGATACAACAGATACAGCTCTTGAAGTCACAGGTGCGGGCGAGGAGTTTTGAACAGAGCCCCTGCGCACGGAAAACAGCCCTAAGAATTAACAAATGGGATCGCATCGAATTGAAATGCTTCCTCACAGAAAAGGAAACAACTAACAGAGTGAAAAGAGAACCTACAGAATGGAAAGATGTTTAGCAGCAATCCCTCAGACGACTAATGTCTAGAACACGTAAGAAGCTAAAAAAAAATTAGAATCCCAAAATAAAAGACCCAGAGTTGGGGATTTGGCTCAGTGGTAGAATGCTTGCCTAGCGAGCTGGAAGCTCTGGGTTCGGTCCCTGGCAACAAAACCAAAGAATAAACCTCCCCTAAAATAAACCTCCCCACCAAATAAAAGACCCAATAAAAAATTAGGCAGTCATGGAGAACAGACAGTTCTCAAAGTACAAAGGACCCGTGGATACACGAAGAAATGGTCAGCGTCCAGGGCCACTGCAGAAATGCAAATGAAAACACCGAGACCCTGGCTTGCCCTCGGAAGCATGGCCACCGCCAAGAAATCCAATCACAATAAGTGCTGGGGAGGGTGCGGGGAGAAGCGAAGCCTGCTCCACGGCAGGTGGGAACAGAAGCCAGGGCAGCCCAAATAGAAAGCTGGGTGGACAGTTCTCCAGGCCAAAACCAGAAATTCCACTCCACTCAGCTGCTCCCCTTTTAGGTATCTTCTCCAAAGAGTTGAAGACATCAGATTACGGGGCTCCATGCACACCCAAATGTGTAGCAGCACAGTCCACAAAGGCTATGTCCTGGGAGTAGACTGAACAGGTGAATGGATAAAATGTGTTGTTTACGCACAGTGAAACACTATTCTTTTTTTTTCTTTTTTCCCTTTGGTACTGGGATCAAACTCAGGACCTTGTACTTGCCAGGCAGGTGCATATGCCATTGAGCTGTCTCCTTGACCCAAATAGAGGAGTACTATTCTGCCACGAAGAGGATAGGATAAACTGGAGTCACCTGTAGGAAGACGGCTGCACCTTGGGGCCATGATGCTGAGTGAAATAAATCAGACACACGAGGCTGAGTATCACGTGGTTCCTCTTAGACAAGAACCCCAGAGTGTACATGAGCAAAAGAAAGGATGGAGAGCTGGGTCTTTCTCAAAGGAGAAAGGAACCAAAGATTGGCAGGGGAGGCTTGAAGAAGGGGTGAAGGAAACCGTGCCCCTGGGCTGACTCCATATGAGGAATGTGGGCAACGAGTGCTGCAAACACGGGTGACAAAATAAATCACCCCTCCCCCAGGCTTCCCATGCGTGCTGCAGGGCGTGGCACGGGGCTGTGGCCGGCGGCCGGGGCCCCTCCGGGGGAGCTGGCATCAGACCACAGCTGCATGTGCACCGAGCTGGCATCTCACCAACGTGCCCCCAAGGCGGGGTGTGTGACGGCCTCTTCTGCTCACAGAGGTGTTTGCCTGCCGGCCAATGAGCACAGCCACACCACCCAAGCATGCATATGCAGCACACACATGCACTTGCATGCGTGCACACACGCACCCACCCGCACCATGCACACATGCGCGTGCACACACACACACGATGAAGCCAGCCAAGCATGTTTAGTCTTACTAGCTCCTTCCCGAAGAGCTCACCCTGTGACATGCCAGGATACCTCTGCTCCGGGACAGGCTGAACCAGACGGCCATTAACCACCCTGAACCAGACGGCCGTTAACCACCCTGAACCAGACAGCCATTCTCTCAAGACCGACACACAGATCTCGTGCAATCCCAGTTGGAAGATCCATAGCATTCCTCACAGATCTAGAGAAAACGATCCTAAAATCCCCTGGAACCAGAAGAGGCCAGAGGAGCAAAAGCAGTCCTGGAAGACAAGGACAAAGCAGGGGCGTCGCCGTCCCTCCTGGGACTCCACCACAAGTCTCCAGTGACCAAAGCCCCAAGCAAACTGGAAAATCGATGGCCAGAAGGGAGGACGCAGAAAGAGCTGCGGGCACACTCAGCCACCTTGTCCTCTTTTCTTTGAGACAGAAAAAGGGTCTCGCTATGCAGTTCAGGCTGGCCTTGTGCTCACTTCTGTACCCACCAGGCTGGTCTTTTTTTTTTTTTTTCAAAGTTATTAAATAATTTTATTCTTTTCTCTTTTATATTGTTAAAAGTAGCCCAGTGTTAAACATGGGAGCAAAATCTGAATTTTTTTTCTTAAAAAAACAATCTTTGTTAGGTTTATACAAAGCATGTATAAATACATCTATTGAGAAAATATCTCAGAGTCACGTTGCACAGGTGTAGGAGCGCCAGACATAATAAAAAGGAAAATGCCTCCAAATCCAAGAAGGGCAGACAGTGTTGTTAAAGTCAGTTTTAGCCAGCCTCACTGGCCAGTGCATGCCTTCAAGTTGAAAGTTGTATTTAGACACTATGAGAGAAAACATTGTATGTGGCTAGTACGAAGAGTTCCTCAAGCAGAATCAGTTTTGTTCTTCGTATATAGTTGGGTTTACAGCTTCAAAAGCAAGCAACAATAAGGATTATAAAAATTCGCAACATTTGTATTAACTGCTCAAAAACAGCAAAGAGGGCTGGTGAGATGGCTCAGTGGTCTAAAAGCACCTACTTAGAACAAGCTTAGCAAAGCCCAGAGACCACGGTTCAATCCTCCAGCACCACATGCCAGCCAGCCCGCCCCTTGGTGGGCTGAGCTGGCCACACACACACACAAAAACAGCAAAGAAAAAATGAACCAATGGTTATTAAAATTAGAATTGTTGAATAAGAGCTTAGATAAAAAACATCAACAGTTAATTATCTTTGATTTTTAAAAATCCCACACAATATATTCTTTTGTCTGGTATAAAGGATTTAACCCACAACCAACCACCCGAACTATCTTTTCTTTATCAAGCTCTTTATCCATGCAAAACTTTAGTAGTCTTGGTGCACACTGCTCAGCATATGCTGTCTCCAGGCTGGTCTTGAACTCACAGAGATCCTCCTGTCTCAGCCTCCTGAGTGCTGGGATTATAGGCGTGCATCACCAAGTCCAGTTTTCAGCCACCTTGTCTTTGATAAAAGAGCCAAGCACTTCTGCTGGAGGAAGAGAGCTTCTTTAATAGATGGGTGGGGGCAGCTGACTGTCCACAGGCCAAAGACTAGAGTTAGACCTGTGTCTCACCAGGCACTAAAGTATAATCCAAATGGGTCAAAGATCTAAACTTCAGAACAGAACCACCTAGTCTGCTGCAAGTCACAGGCAGGCAAGGGCTTTCTGAATAGGACCTTGAGGCACAAGAACTAACACCACCGACTATCCCAGGGCATGACACACCGAAAAGCTTCTGTACAGCAAACCAGCAGAGAGGGGGCGGCCCTGCAGGACGGGCAAAGCCGCCAGCTGCTCCCTGCACCGAGGACTAACCTCTAGAACACATACAGAGCTCACAATCTAGACCCAGAAAATGGAAGACCTAACCAAAACGTGGGCAACTGAAACGCACGGGCGCCACTCAGAAGAGGTTGCGATGGCCAATAAACACCTAAGACGCAATCGGCATCGCTGGCCACTAGAGCAAACGAAAACAAGGCTGAGATCCCAGCCCGCTAGGGCGAAGGGCCAGCGTCAGGAATCAGGAATCGCAGTCACCGCTAG